TATTTAACAGTGAAAATAGTGAGACTAGGGGACACAAGTATAAATTTTGGCAAGGTATGAGTCATCTTCAGCTAAGACAGTTTTATTTTTCTAACAGAGTGGTTGGCCTTTGGAATGGATTGCTTTCGGATGTTTTAGGGGCAGTAAATTTAGGTGAGTTTAAGAAAAAGTTGATAAGTATATGAATGATTAAGACAGGCTTTATTTTTTTTTAATTTATTTAGAGGATGGAACAGCCAAAATGGACCAATAGGTTCCATGTTGTCCCAAAACATTATGTTATGTTAATTCCTTAATTTTAAAAGGAAATATTTAATATCTCAGTCTTCACCTATCTGTATCACATGGCATTTACACTCCAAATTGCCCAATTTAGATTTTTTCTTAAACCCTTTGATCTCCTGAGTTTAGCACAAAGTACTTATACTATAGATAGTGCTAAGTCATAATGTAAACATCAGTCCAAATTTATTCTTCAACTGAGATATAAGAGCTTGAAACAACTTAATGTTTGAAGAGGGGGAAGCTACTGCTTCATACAGCAAAATACAAACAAAACCAAATTTAGTGAAAGAATAAAGGTTTAAGCTGTGACTGTAAGTAATTTGTAACTTCACAGTCAATACTAAAAAGGAAGGAGCTGTTTTTCAATCATTCTTTTCATTGTACTTATATGTCCCTGGAATAAAGTATGCTGCTTGTGTAGAGAAACCTACAGATAAAATATACAATGTTACCAAAATTTTTTTTTATATTCATTTAGGAAGTTCTAGAAGTTTATGCAAATGAAATATGAAAACTGTAAAATAAAAATAAGTAGTTGTATTCCTATCATCATATCTTTCATGCAGACTAACTCCGTAAATTCCCAGATGAATCTTTAGCAAAAAATCTGATTTTTTTGTGCACAACACACTTTTAATGTTTGCTAAAAGACTGCCAAACTTTGTGAAGATATATGAAGTTAGAATTATAGTAATCTTTAATTCTCCAGTACAGGATAGACCCAATCGACTGAACTTGTGTATGTAAGATTAAAGAGTTTGCAAAAATACTATGTATTTGTGAAATAAAGTTATCTGCTAGGTAGTCCTGCGAGCCTGTAAATACAAGTATTCCCTTTCTGATAATTGTAAAAACCTTTGCCTGTAAAAACTAATGTCTGCATGTAGTACATGAACTGCTCATTTGCAGAAGGAACAAAAGTTTGTCCAAAGCTGATTAGTAACTTTTTAATTGCATTAAAAGTTAATGTTTTCAATATAATGTTTAGGGTATTTAAAGCTTTAAAGTTGTGCTTCAAATTCAACAAGATGGTTCAAGAACTGGGTTAAACTTTTAACACAGCCTGAAATGTCTACCAAAATATACAAAACTTCTGCTCCAACAGTATATAAGTTATTACAACAATAACATAATAACCTATTATATGTACTTTATCTTTCTACTTCTCAAAATATTACAAACAGTATATATGTTTTAAAAAAAAAAGTATGAATGTATTTTTACACAATTACATCCACAGACTGTTTAATTGTTATCTTACCAGTGGTTGTCTGAATACTAACCTACACATGAGGACTAAGGCCTGATGGTACTGGAGCAGCTTCTGTTGCTAAATTGACAAAAACAAAATGAAAAACAATCTGTTAAAATTGTCTGCTTAAAAATTTCATATGAAATGTGTCTTAAAGTAAAAATATTTAAAAATACTTCTGCAAAGCAAATATAACATTTTTTTTAGAGTTCCAAGTTCTAGCTAAAAATATGAACTCAGTTTTCAAACTGACTGCCTTTTCATTATTCATCCAATACTTTACTATAGCAACAATTTTAGCTTCAAAGAATGAATATACATGCTTGTAATAGTTAAATAATCTGTTAATATATATAGCTGCACTATCAGAAAATTCCTATTTTAAAGTTTTGCCCTTTGATACCTACCTGATGTTGGTGGGCTATTGTCTGCTTCATCAGAACATTCTTTATGCTTTGTTCCATGGCATACTTCTTGGCTTTAGTAACCATTTCCTGCTGCTCAGATGTCAGCTTCTGAAGGCCAATCCCTAACAGTGAGCTAGGGGATCGCATAGCCCCAGGTCCTGCTAAGATTGGACCAGTCTGTTCATGCTGTGTCATTGTGTTGGCCACATTAGTTTCTGCAGAAATACAAATACCTGTTAATAGGATTAGTTGGAACAACAATGAAAATGTTTCTTAAGTATGATTTTACCTATCTTTTTTCATCTTTCTCTATTCTAGGATATAAAGTTCAGCTACACTTTGATGGTAATAACAACAAAGGTAGAAAATTAGTTTCTGTTTGTTTCAATAACAGTTTAGTTTATCTGATGTTCATTCACAGGATTTACCAATGCTGGAATGAAAATAAAATTGTAACTTGTTTGATCCAATTTATATCTATTTACGTGTTCATTTCAATGATAGTCTACTTGTTTTACTCTGTAATTGCCATGCAAGTCAAACTATAATTAAAATCACTTAAATTACTGAAACTGAAAAATTATACACTTAATAATTGAATGTAATATGAAGTTAATTATTCCAAAACTTGTTCAAAATTATTTATTTTTAATGGCAGCAGCCAAACTTTTTGTTACACATAGGACATTTACATTTGGTCAGTGATATCAGTTTTGATTTTTGTTGAAACTCCAAATTTTCAAGCAGAAGCACATGTATTTCTTCACTTCCTGTTCTTTACATTGTGAGAATATTGTGTATTATATTTCCATCTATTTATTATATAATGAAGACTGTATTTGTAAAACTAAAATTTAAAATGGTTATTTGAAAATAGTACAAATCTATTGCACATACAAATAAATGTCATTAATTAAGCTCAAAATCAACAAATCAAAATGTAGATAATTCCCTTTAAAATAATATGTAGGTTTGTTTAATACTCATACATCATTTAATGACATTAACACATTTTAGTTTTTGAAAATATGTAAACACTTTTACTACTGAAACATAAAGTAGTAAACTCAGGGTACCAAACAAATGTAAATACACAAATCTCTATCATAAATTAAATGTAATGATCTAGTTAGTTCTATTTCATCAACCCTCAGAAATACAAGACCAATTAAATTTTGGACAAAAAAATAGTTCAGCTTTGATTTACATGTAAAATGCAGCCATGAGGCTATTTATAACCATAAGCTATGCTCTGCAATGGTATATCATATGACCCAAAACATAAAAATATGATTTGCAATTACCTGGTACCTGCCAAAAATAATTCATTGCAGGGCACTAAACAGGATAATTAAGTCAATGCAAAAAGTAGTGTGAAGAGAACGTTTACCACTGATATGTCAGTCAAGCAAATCTCACAGCTCCTAGCATTTTGAGCTGCTTTTTGCATGATTCGCACGAGCAAGAGCAGTTGTGCAGTGAGCAGGTTGCTTCTCTTGTTTTGCTTTCAAACTACACAGTACAAAAATACAAGAAAAAAGAGAAAAGAACGAAACATATCAACATCAGCATGGTCACCAAAATGAATACTGTATATCGCCCAGTCATGGTAAAAATTAATGTTACTGATACAAACCATTACTGTATCCACCCAGTAATAAATACTGTATTCTTAAAAACAATGTTAATTTATTTTATATTTATAACAATGATCTAGAAAAATCTCTTAGTCCATGGAAATTCTATAAAATGGGGACAACTTACTTTTTTCAAGACAATAAATATTAATAAATACTATTTTCATTAAAAATTTTAAAACTAGGGAATTGAAATAAATAAATATTACAGTTATATAAATCATGGTCTCATTACTAATTTTGTTATTACCAAAAACATCTTATTGTAGGCCCTCCAATGGCACATCATAGGGCAAATTAATGAAAAAGTAGTGCATTATATTAAAATATCATGGTAATAGGGTGACATGACATTTTGGGATGGCAATTAATAAATACTTAGAAATTAACAGTGTACTCACAGGGGTGTGGAATTCATATTGTCCAACGTCTGGGATGACAAGTTTTACTGTTATACTTTGCCCATTTGACAAGTATGTATATGTATATTTTTCACACTCCAGGTAAATTTCTAGGGAACTATACAAGAAACTAAAAATTCTAAAGTGCAAAAGTTTAGCACGTACACACAATCTTTTTAAAAAATGCATACTTTTATACTTCAAACCAAAACTAAATATACATATCCCTTTAACTTACAAATTCACAGTCACATACACAAAGTAACATATCTACTTAAACTACGTACATCCATTAATGTAAACAGTTTGTGCATGGGGTATTCTACATGTTGCACTGTAAAATCATAATAACTAAATGTTAAAAACCATAAAATACATATATATATATATATATGTATATAAAAATAGCTTAGGTGTATAACATGTTATACACAATTCCCAATCAAACTGAGCTGCCAATGACATTGTCCTTATTATGGTAACTGTTAAATAAAAGCAAAATCTTAAAAATTATATTCTATGTTTTTTACATTTTGTGGAGGAAAGAGGGAAATAGATTTGTAGAATATTTTTTCTCTTGGACAAGAATTTTTTCTGAAAATTTCACACCCCTGACTCACTATGGAGTTCAATTTTGTTACCTGTTATTTCTATATATTTGATACTCATATCAAGTTCTCTAAATATGAAAAAAAACCTCCTTAAAGATATCTGAACACCTGTGTCACTCGAAAGGTTTCTGCCACAAACAATCAACCTGAAAAGGTAACACACAGCCCCATTCCCCCCAAAACAGGGAAAAATAGTAATTTTTGGAAAAAAAGGGATGACCTGAAAAAGTACCAAATTGGAGATGTTGGAAGGCCTTACAATAGTCTATACAGATTTAATTTCTAGCTTTTTATGCAAAAAATGGAGCTAGTGTAAACTGTCTACTAAAATCAAATTATTCAAAATGATAAAAAGAATAAAAATAACTTAATAACGAAGCCATAATATATATATCAATTTATTGATGATATGATGCATTTGTGAGTACTTCATTAAGCCTACATCAATGAAAACATGTGGTATTTTGTGGCCAGTCCATTCCTGCAAGTAAAAATAGAAAGACACATTACATCAAATGATGTATTATGCAATATCTTAGAGTAAATTCGTAACCCAAATTCATAACATGCAGTACTACAGTGTACTTCAGATAACACTGACTGAAATAAAAGGCCATCAATATGTATTTCTTAAACATATCACCTCATTTTTTTTGAAAAAGTGTTTCTTTTCCCAGTCCGATTATAATGTATATACATATAACATATAAGGTAGTAACCAGAATATGCTAATATGAAAAGTGTGTGCTAATATGAAATTAGTATAGCTGAAATTAAAGAAAAATTCTATAAAACCATAAATAAACATTTTAATAGCTATTTTAAAAAACTATTTTTAATTAAATTTTGTTCAAGTTACTGTTGGTAAGACTTACAAGACCAGGAAATAACTACTGAATATTCTTATATGTACCCACAGCATAAATTATATACATAATACAAACTATTCTAATCAAACTGGGGCACAGGTAAGAATAATGAGCCCATTCTTAAATCTGATTTTTTAACATCAAGTGCCTCATTTCAAAGTCTAGTGTGGTTTTGTATAGCAAGCGTGTAGATGAAATGAAAAAATAAGCACAAATATAGTGTGAAACAGAAGGTTTTAGGATACTGTCAAAATCTCAGGAGTTTTGAAAGGAAATATCACAGCAAAACATGAGAATTAGTCTCAGAACTATTAAGCACTACTCCAGATTATAATATTAAAGTGTCAACCACTTCAATATTTAAGATTTACAGCCTGAAAACAAAATTCTTCAGTCAAAGCCTAACTTGGTAGCATTTACAAATATATCTATATATATATTTACATTCTTTGTCGTACATGTAGGCCATAGCAACAAAGAAACTGTTTTCTCCACTCCTAGATGACTGCTACATTTCTAGAAAGAAATACTACCAAAATAAAAAAGAAAGTCATTAAAGCATATTACATATGCACATAAAAAAATTGAAGACGTTCTACAGCAATAGCAAAACTGCACACATATGTAGGTGTTTAATGACTACCGAAATTAAATTCCTTTAGGCTTAAAGTCAGATTCACAAAGTTTCATAAAGTACTGTCACTTTGTGACTTTTAAAATTCACATGAATAAAGAAGGGCTTGCCAGAACTGGTAGTAAACTTAATATAAATTTAACTCAAACTTTTAGTAGTTTTGAGAAATTAGGATTGTACAATATGAAAAGAAATGTTTCTGTTTTAGTAATAAAATGAATGACAGAACTTTTATTATGTCAATTTATCTTAACAACTGACTAAAAAACTATATTCAGAGTTGATGAAAACAAAAAACTGTACATTCTATTGATGTACATATAATTACATTTATCTGAACACTAAAAAATATTGGTTTTAAGATTTTCTAACTGATTATGCTCAAAAAATAACAACACTGCAATCTTTTAGCAGGAATTCCTAATTAAAAAGCATTGAGGGAACACTTAAGTTTATTTTAAAATCATGCCAATGTAAGACATTTTTGAAAACTAATAATACTTAAACAGAAAATTTAATTGTACACAATGTGAAGGATGAATAAATGCTGGTTTCAATGTTCAAGATGCTTCTTACACATACTGCCATGTCTTTATACATGTTAATTCTGCTACACCATGTCAAATCAATTACAACTGTTGTGCTTCCTCATAATCAGCAAGAAATTACAGAAAGCAATGCTATATTGCAGCTCTAGCAACAACAATTATGAATCACTATCATTAAACATTTTTAAAGCTCAAATATAAATACAAATTAATTTTGATTGAACCTTTATATGTTAGTGGTCACAGCTAGGGGTTCTCTCTGTAGTTTTACCTAACTTTGCAAGTTTAAACCACACCTAATGTGGGGTCAAACCAGACTCCTAAAACAGGGAGAAATCATTTCTCATTCCAAGTGCCAACAAGGTTTTGAAAAATAAGGAATCTTCACATTTCTATATCAAACATATTCACAATGTGAAAACATCATTTAATAAAGGAAATGTTGTTTGTTTAGAGGTTAATTATTTCCATGATGTGTGTGTGTGTGTGCAATTTTAAGCACTGAAAAACTTTTTTCAGAATCTAAGATAAACCATTTTCATTTATTTTATTTTTTTGCAATTTGAATAAATAATGTCACCATGCAAAATAATTCAAAACCATTTTATAAATTCCCTGCATTTTCATTTTTTAATTTACATTCGAGTGTTGGTCATGATTTTTAGACTTAGCAGGATTTCCATGCCTATGTGCATAACATTGCTTTTTCTTATATCTTGACAAATTGAGTAGTACAAATTGAGTAGTTTTGTCAAATTCTGGCCTAAAATGAAAGGCCATTGAAAAATTAGAGAAAACTTTTTTTCCAAAGGGTTATTCTAAAGTAATTTGCTGTAAACATTCTGAGTGAAGGAAGAATACCATAATGGGCAGCAATGTACAAGTTTGATTGGACTGCATACTTAAAATGCAATTATATCTATAAGTAATTAGTACAGCAGCATTTCTCAAACTGGGGTCCACTAAGGTACTCCAGGGGGGCAGCAAGTCATGTATAAAATTCTATAAAACATATTTAGAAAAATATGACTTATAGATAGAATAAAAATATTTTTTGTAAAAACAAACTTATGTGAATTAAAACATTTAATCTTGGAGTAGCTTTTCAAGTGCACAGAATCCTTTTTACAAACCAAAAACCATTGACATATTTGGGGATCTGCAGAAAATGTTAAATTAAAAGGGGTTTCCAGAATAATACCTCTTTATGGTCTATATCTTACACAATTAACAATTACCTCCTGCAACAAACAATCAATCAAATAAACACAAATATGTGTGTTAAAAAAATACACACATGATACTCTTCCAAATCATCATTAACACTTTTCCAATTAGGTCTATTTATATACATTTAACTCTTTTTTTTTCTTTGTACTGAAATAAACTTTAACAACAGATTTGTATAATTGATATTAACATACTAAACATGGGGATATCTGATTGAGAATGCTGAATGACTTATCCTGTCTTGTGCTTCCTGAGTTCAAAGAATGTGTATTGTTTCAGCAATTTGTCTGGCCAATGTCTAGAATTTGGAAACCAAGTGTGATGATACTGTTTGTTGCCTTCAGCACAGTCAAAAAAATAAATCACTTGAATCTTGTTGTGGGAAATAAAAAGTAAAGTCAGAACTTTGATGTCAAAGTTTAAAGGTATTTATCTGGTCACATGACTTCTGCCTAACTTGAACCTAACATCTGGATCCATGAAAGCTAAAGGATACTGTCTTTAGCTCTATGTTTGTGTTAAATTACAAAATCAAGAAAAAAATTAATAAATTAATAGTTGGAGTATATGTGCATAACCCTGTATTTAGTAGTACTTGGGCTTTCATGGAAATAATTTTTGATTTTTATTTATTTTTACTTGTATTTCACTTGAAAAACCTATATTTCATTCTTGTGCTAGACTGTCAGCACTAAGGTGTTATTTAATTTTTTTTTTTAAATTCAGCTAGTTTAAAATAATGTCCCCTATATGTATTACAATTATCCTATTTAATGCAAATTTTGAAACCTGAGAGTTTATCCTTCAACACTTATGTACTCATTTAATACTTTATGTTTATATAGTATTGTAAATTAAATTTCTTTTAATACCTGTATCAAAAGACAGAACGTTGTGAAATAACTCGTTTTGCTTTGAAGCTAGTGTTGTCACTTTTGCATTTAATAATTTTAATGAATCAGTGCTCTTTTAAAGTTGTTTCCCAATTGTGTGTGTCTCCAATTGTATGAAAATCACATTATGGAACAAAAGTTAAATCATTAGTGTATAGAAATGGAACATTGCATTTCAGACAAAAAATCTGCTTATAGTACAAAGCATAACATTCTGTACTGCCCTTTTCTCCCTCCTGTTGTTTGGTTAGAGAAATAAAATCCAATAATTTTACATTCACTTACAGTAGTACTTGTTATCATCTTCAGTCACTTGTGTTTAATGTGGTGAGGGTTTTAACAATTTACAGTTGTGATATATAAATGTACTTTGAAAACCTCAACTGGAAAATGATTATGACTTAGAGGGACTCTAAAATTAATTTTTTTAGATAATTCAAATGATAAAGAATTACACCAACTTTTTAATAAAGTTCTTTCTAGAAATTAAAAAAAATTCTGTAACATCAGGTATATTTTACAAAGGTTATGATAAGATGTACATAATTACAAATGCAAAGTTCACTCATAAAGGTTACTAAATGGAGAGACTGCCACTTATGCATTTACAAACAATGCATGCTTTTTCTTTCTTTTCTTAAAAATAATACATCACCTTTTGCAAACAAATGATAATTTTTGCAGTTTTTTACATTCTGCACTGGAAATTAAAAACTTAAATGAATTTTGTTTTATTACTCTTGATTTATCACTACCAAGAAAGCCAGTATAAAACTGTAATTAGTAACAAACACTTTTATAAGCTTTAAAATTCTTAAGTATTTTCTTAAGTATTATACGATTGTGTAGCAAAAGACATATTTTGAGCACCAAGGGCTTGTAATTTTTTGATAATCAAAAATGTTACTCAAACATGATAATTACTAATGAAAAACTGAAAAGTTAATCATGCCATTTTAGGCTAACATTAGTGTAACTTAGACCTGTAACATAAAAAATATTTTAATATGCTTTATTACTTCTTTATGGTTGCATTCCCAACTTTTAAACATTAGCAAAATGACAGAAGGCTGCTCAGCCCATCAAGGCCACCACTTAACTAAAAACCTTCAGCAATGTTAAAATTTACTCCAAATATGGTAGAACTTCATGTTTCAGATTCCATAAGAATTGTTCATTATAACTTAGCTAACTACACACGTTGAGGAAATTTAAATATTCTTAGAGAAATCCCTAAGTAGTAAGGTATAGATGTATTACCTATTTGAAACGTTTTATTTTACAAAAAACATGGGAAAAAACCTTATATTGCCATCTTTCCTTCTTGCTAAAAGAGTAAAATCTCAACAACATTGTTTTCAGTATCACTTTACTCCACTAGAAATCATGCCTGTATAAAGAACAGGTTCATATGACAGGCAGAAATACTTCTACAAATAAAATTTTTTTTTCATAAAATACTGAAGAAAGCACTGGCAAGTCTTCTGGATACATGGAACTCTACATCAGAAATATGCTGTGTTAGTAAGACTTGGTAGTTAAAGAATGCACAAAATACTTCATGACTATAGCTAGGTACGACTTATATTCTAATAAGCATTTGACTTCTAATACTAGTAACAACATAACTCATACAGTGTGTTTTCTGTCACAAAGGTTGACCTTTCCTAGTTTGACACACCTTGAGGGTAGATCCCTTGTGTACGACGACTCTTCTGTCTCTGAGTAAGACTAATGAAATGAAAATATTACTCAGTTGTTCAAATATCTTACCAAAGTGAAACTAATATTGTTAAATCAAGAGCTTTTGTTTACTGATACTGTACTTGACTTTACTGCATCAAACACCAACTTACAAAATCTAAAACTTAAAATGCAAGGAAAAAATGTTGATATATACATAAATATACTGTACTAGTGTATGTCGTATCTTTGTGAATGTAAGTTATACCATTCATTTTCATATTCCACAATTATATCACAAGTAATCCAAAGGAATTATAATGTATTGCATTATAAGCAGTCTTCATTTGAACATACCATCCAACTTCATTTTCTTTAAAGCTGGTTCTTGTGAAGTGTCACTTCCTGATCCATTCACCTGAAGAAGATGAACATAGTTTACATCTTTTGTCTACTACATGAGAGGTTGTCTTAAAATAAAAAAAGATGATGAACTACATAATATCAATTTCAAGTAAACATTTTACCATGACCAAATATAAGCACAAAAATAAAAATCATAAGCTCACATAAGCCTAAAAGCATGTTTCATATTTTTCCCTTTAATTTGTTTACCAGATATTTAAAAAATATATCGATCTTACACTTTAATGTAAAATTACAAAAGCATGGCAAACATCTATGTTCAAAACAAAATTTTGTATACATCAACCAGGTATGCATAAAATTCTTCTTAATACCTCCATAACTTATGTCATAATGTTGCTTATTCTCTCATTTCAGTAAGAATACAAGTATTGCTAACCAAAAACAAGAAAAGATTAGTTTGCATAAAAGTGTAAGAGCCTTGAACATCACTTTTGAAGGCATTAGCAAATGGTGCTTGTTCCTTTTTTCCCACTAGCAAAGTTATCATTTTCCTGATTTGAAAATGTATTTCCAAACATACTTACTTCTGCTGACATGTATAGCTATTTCTCAATCTTCATATTTGCCATCTAAACATCGTGTTCACTTGCCCCACTTGACTGCCCTCAGCAATATCTAATTTGCAAAACTTCACACCGGTCCTCACTCTATGCAAGTACTATATATATAAGCACTGTATGTCGACAATATAATCACTTTTGTGAGACTTATCCCATCCCAGTCACTAACACCAGCTCTTAGTGGGGAGGAAGGGAGCGAGAGCATCAGCATAGGTAAGTATGTTTGGAAATACATTTTCAGATTAGAAAAATCATAACTTCCAAAACATACATACTTCTGCTGACATTTGTAACTAGAATACCACATTGAAAAGGCAGAGGGACCAGTGAGGGAATAATTCATACAGAAAGCATCTGCATAGAACGAAGGTGTACCATGAGAGGTGCTACCCAAGCAAGGTAAACCGCACTACATCAAGAATAGGTATGCTCTACACCCAGAACTACAGAAAAGTGAAAAGGGGGGAATATTACACAAGTATGTATGATGGACCAGCCCCAACCAAGTGGGCAAGAAGAATTACACTTACCCATGGAATTATCAAGAACATGGAACACTGTTCAACCAAGGGCCTAAAAACAACCCAAGACCTGACAGTCTTCATAAGAGGGTCAAAGCACACCTCCACTGAATAGGTAAGAGTCCTGCTCCTCTTGACATCTGAGAAAAACTTCCAGGGGCCCAGGTAGGAGGGTCCCCAACTTCGCCCTCTTCTCCGAGAGTGGACAAAACTAAGCATCCAAAGGAAAATCCTCTGTCCACCTCACCAGCAACTGGGAACTGGGTGTGGTAAGGACTCCTTAGCTCCACTAGAAGCAGTAGGGGGACATGTATGCGGTGGGGAGCCCTAAGGAACAGGTCTCCGGAGACAATGCAACAGGTGAAGCACATTCCTCAAGTTTAAAAAGCAAACCAATCTTGACTGATTCAGCTCTAAGATCAGCAGGGACTGGCAAAATCCCCTTTAGTTCATGAGTAGCAGTTCATTGGATTTGTATTGTGAGATAATACTTACATCCAGAATTGCATCTAGATGGTCTTAAGGAACACCTCATCTCGACAGAGCCTGTTGCCGCCATGAACCGATATAAAGGTTGCCAGTGCGGGATTGAAAAAAATAAAAGCACACCTGACTGGGCAACACTTGGCACTGAGTGGGATCCAACAGAAATAAAGAGGGACCCTAGAATAAAAAAACTGTTGATCAGGTAAAAAAGTTACACGACTCCTTGTTAAAATCTAGCAGAGGTTGTCAACAGCTATGGAGAAGGGGAGAGGGGGAGGTAAAAATCCCACAGAAGAGGAAACTGCCAGATCATGAACGTAATGAGATAGGAAAGTGTGGGAGAAGACCACATACCAGCCCGCAAAATATCCCCCAGAGAAAAGATCAGATGAGCAGATAATGACATTGATAGATGCCAAATCTGGTGAGAAGTGATGTGGAGTATATTCCAATCTAAAAGAGATAACCCCAAACAGGCTATAGGAATCAAATCCTGAAGTCCCCTGGTTAAAGTAATGGGTGATAAATCCAAGGACACTGCAGGATCCCACTAAATAAAAAACAGGTGCATAGGGCTCCTTAACAGTTCTGTACAAGCCACAGAACATCAAGTGCTCTGACTGGACACAAAAAGATAAGGGTATGATAGATTGTAAAGATGAGAAATGCCTGGGAAAAGAATATGAGAAAAGAATTTATTCCCTTCTCTGGCAGTGAGTCTTCAGTAGGAAGGATCTGTCTGGATAGAGCAAAAAATAGGTGGAAGGATAGTGAGTCAGTTGAACAGGGATGGCAAATAAATCAGAACAGCTGCATCTGGAAGCTAACAACAATAGAAATATACCTTGAGGGAAAGGTGATACAAAGAACAGGGGGCCATAGGTTTGAAGGGATAAAGTGATAATGAATGAAAAAAACAACTCTAAGCTACCAATTAGGCAACTGAAATGATAGTTTGGAATGAAGAATATGGAAGGATCAGAAAACAAGATAGCACAGGAGTAAAAAAAGCCTTCGTGTGAAAGGAAGCAGCAAAGGATGTTGTATATAATGCAAAGTAGAAGCCAAACCTTTCAAAAATCCATGTCAAAAAACTAGAAACTATAGAGACCATTGGATGAAGTGGCTTGAAGGCTCACCAAAGACCCACTGATAATATGTAGTACATTTCAATCAATAGATTGCCATAGTAGGTTGATGGAGGATAATGTTAAATAAATAGAAACTGTAGAATGAGGGATTCTAGGGAAGCCAAAATCTCCAAATCCATACAGTGGGAGAAGGTGACGTAAGCAAATGCCTAACAAACCCTTCCCTAGCATGAAGTCTGAGGGGAGAAGGTTGAGCTTGACTCAAAGTGCATTGAAAAACACCCCAAGATGGACCATGTATGGAGTTGGTGAGAGAATGGATTTTTTCAACCTGATATGAAGTCCACCCTTCTGGCATCTGAAAGGAGAATACGTGGATGTAGTGTGGCAATGTAGTGTGCCAAAAGAAGTCAATTTTCCAAATAGTGATGTGTACACAGACCCAGAAAATGAAGATGCTGCTCAAAGGCCCATACTACTTGGCAGAAAACATATAGTGCTGAAGCAAGTCCAAAAAGGAGAGCCTGGAACTACTATATCTGGTCCTTGAGCAAAATATGTAGAAAATGATGAAAAGACTGCTATGGGGATGTGAAGGGAGGTGTAACATCAAACTTGGTCATCCAAAGATCAGGTGTGAAGTGCCATTGAAGTTGAAGATTCCATGGTGAAACAAGAAGGCTGTAGGAAGAGATTGAGTTGAGACAGATTGATGATAAGAAGCCAATCTCTAGTGTTCTTGGTCACCAGAAAAAGATGAGAATAGAATCCTGGATGAACAGGATTGACCTTCTGAATGGGTAGATATCAATGCCACTGATGCCATCCCAACCTCCCGAAGATCCCCGAAAATACAGACAGAACTGATTCTGTAAACCAATAGGATGAGGTGTCGAAGGTGGGGGCTGCAAGATGCAAATCATCGATCCTTCAGAATTACCCGTTGGAGTAGAAGAGAGACAAGCAGACAATGTTGATAATGAAAACTGCAAACACGACGTATAAAATCAGGCTTCGAAAGTTTCAGGAACTCCAGAAGACTAGTAAGGCCGAAAAAGGGGCGACTCCCAGAAATCATGAAGAGGAGTATCACAATACAGTAGTAGGAGTGAAATGAATCCACAAAAATGGAGATCTGGTAAGAGAGATAACAGGTTCTACACTGGAACCCCATAGATCCAACAACAAATTCAACTGTTGAGTGTCCAAATATACTACAGCCAGACGACGATGAGCCAGGGCATGTTGTTCTGTTAAACAAGGGGAGCAAGGCATAGCAATACTCTCTCATAATTGCATTGCAAACATCCCAGCATACACGGCAATATACGGAGAAGGAGGAAAAACTAAAAAATCCCCCCCCAAGATCTATCTGGCAACAAGGCAGAGTAGACTCAAAAGCCAGGGGATGAATCCCTAAAGTTTCACAAACTCGCATAACTATAAGCAGAAAAGAGGCAGAAGGTGGCTGATCAGATGAGCCCACAGTAGAGGCAGCTCTAGTGAAAGAAGAAGCAGAAAACAGTACCTAAATTCTCCCCCGTACATTCAGGTTCATGATGAGAAGCCAACTCTGAACCCCCAGGGCTGCATGAAGGACTCCCCCCCAACTACCACCAGACAACAAAGAAGGAATGGAGGAAGTCTAGTTAACCCTTGTGCAAGAAACCATTACACAGGAATTCATACCATCTTTTTTTTCTTTTTCCTTTCTTGAACAGCAAAAGAAAAACAATGAAATATCAGCAATGGGAAAAACAAACAACAGAGTACTATGCATACAGTGCTTATATACATTACAGGGTGTGTGAGGACCAGTGTAAAGTTTTGCAAGTTATTTGCAAAGATATTGCAGAGGGCAGTTCAGTGGGGTATAAAGACTGGAGCAAACAAACACGATGTTTAGATGGCAAAGATGAAAATCGAGAAATAGCTAAGTGTCAGCAGAGGTATGCATGTTTTGGAATTTGGGATTGCTGCTAGAAGCAGCATTCTTCTCTAAAACAAACTGTAATATTGTGTCATAATTATATCATGAATTAAATGTTAATATACGAGGCCTGTGAGAAAAGTATCCGACCTTATTTTTTTTGCGATAACCTAATGGATTTGAATCAAGCACGCTTGCATGAGCCGACCTTGAACCTTCGTGCGCATGCGTGAATTTTTCCCGTCAGTTGTTGGCAAGCAGCCATTGAGTGAGGTAGTGTGTAGTGCTCTCGTCGGTTTTTCATTGCAAGGAAAATGACAGAACGACTGGAGCAGCGCTACTGCATCAAATTTTGCCAGAAACTGGGAGACAGCCAGGTGGAAACCATTCGGAAGGTTCAG